TTTCCTTGTTTATTGCCTGTGAAGTACCCCTACCCCACCTCCGTGGAGCTGGCTAGACCCCAGCCCCCAGCACAGCACAGCCGCTTCCCATGCACACAGCATTGTGGTTGAGCATCTCGGGAAGGTTATTTGTTCTTTCTACGGGCCTATCCCCCAGGGTGGAATTCCCAGGTCAGAGGGCACGAGCAGTTTTATAGTCCTTATTACATGTCAGGAGATGGGCGTTCAGAAAGATTGAGCCAATTTCCAGGGCTTCTAGCAGGGAATCTGTCTGTCCCAGACCCACACCCTGACTCCAGGCATTAGCGGTCCTTTCCCCCCGCCCCCCCAAATGATTGAGTTGAAGCTTTTGCTTGGAAATCAGCCCTGAGAAGCTCCCATCTGAGTCAGAACTGAGATAGCTTAGCCTTTTGAATTACTCTTAGATGATTTATAATTACCAGTTGTTGCTGTGTCCACTCCCTCCTCTCTGAGAGGTTCCATGAAGCAGCAGCATTAAGGTGGAGGGAGTGTTGCTTCGGGGACTTTATTTGAGGAGAAAACCGCTTTGGGCCATCAGTTGTGAAGGTAAATACTTGTTAAATCTTTAATGCATTTGGAACTTTGATGAGGTGCTAGGGAAAATGTTCAACAGACACAGGCTGATACTCAAAGAGGCTCCTAAGCCTTGAATAAACAGTAAAAACAACACGGGTTTAACATTTGAGTGGCAAAACGGCTTTTAAAAAAATACAGGTATTCTCCCAAACCGGTTGAGCTCACATCTCTCTGTACTTCTTCTCTGGAGTGCAGCCATGCATTAAGTAACACACCTCGCCTGCCTCCTTCCTTCGTCCTGGGTGAAACACAGGGGCTGGGTTCTGCAGCCTCAAGTCACAGGATCACTTTCCAAGAAAATAGCCACAAGGGAAGAAAAACCTGCAAGAGGGCTGCTCCTTGGGAGAGACACGGGAAAACAGTGATAATTCCGTGGTCATGGCTGCGTGTGACTGCAGCCCCCTGCCCCAAACCCCGTATAATCCATCAGGATGGGCCAGTTCCTGGAGCAGGGCCTCATACTCGAAAAAGCAGAGAGTCCGTGAAGGACAGGAAGACCCTGCCCTTCAGAGAATCCAGAGAGAGACCTGTTAAGGTGGCTGCAGCAGAGATTGTGAGGACAACGCAGGATTGCCAAGGTGTGCTTGCTTGTCTCAGGGGGTCACTGTGAAACCCAGCTGCCTACAGGTCGCCTAACAGTAGACAGATGGTTACCACCGAGGAGGAACCTGCCTCACAACAGTTGCCATCAGGATTTTATCGTGAGTGTCATTTGCTTTTCCGTCTGCAGAACCAAACTTAAGAAGCTGGCCAGCATGTCCTCCCTTTTCCTCCCAAGCCCCGAAGTATCCAGGCATCTTCAGCACTGGGAGGGGAACAAGGAATGAGAATCTTCCAGATGGTCACTTGAAGGCCAAAGGCAGGTGCAGAACCCTTTGAGCAAGCACTTAATGAAATGACCAGGGAGCCGGGAGTGGGCACCAGCTCACGGCTGCCCTTTGGTAACAGGGTAGAGCTGTCTTCCACGAAGCAGTCAGTGCTGGCCTGGCAGGAAATGCTGAGAGGTGGTTAAAGTAGGTTGCCAGGCCTTTGGCCTGCGGCACCTGGTAGGGTGGCCCCTCCTGCCTTTTGAGGAAGCTGTCAGGCGGGGTCATGTTAACCATGTGGCCACCCAGGACTCCAGGACCCTGAGGAAGCTGCGGCCTACGCCTGTGTGCTGCATCAGCCGGACAACATCCAGCGCAGTTGAGTTCATCTCGGAGTGACTCACTGGGTTTTGAGGTGTAAATCTTTCTGGAGGGACTGCCCATCCTTTTCCTGCAGAGCAGCTGGTGGCTTCACACCACTGACCTTTCTGTTTAGCAGCACAGGGCATAACACACTACACCACCAGAGCCCCTTTCAGCCTGGCAGAGGTCAGGCAGCGATTAGGAAGACCCAGTGACGAGCTTCTAAGCATCGTGGCTAAGGGTCAGGTGTGGCAGGGTGAAGAGGATGGTGGGAGATCCAGACTGCCTGGCCTGGGCCACTTCTGCCCACAGAGTGGTCTGGCGAGAATCATTCCCTCCATGAGCGGTTTCAGGCTTATGTTCCGTACTGAATATGGTCTGGGAGCTCTGGTAGGCTCGTGGTAAGGAACTAACACTGCCAGCCCAAAGGTAAGTGGTTCAGATCTACCAGCTGACGAACAGTCCCCTCTGGTGCCTTTCAAAGCCTGCTGGAGGGTCAGCTATGGGTGCTTTCTTTCTAGAAGGTACACAACTACAACGTAACGTAAGTATTCAGTAAATGCTCCCTCCCTCCCCCAAAGTTTCTGTAAAAAAGAACTGTGTCCCTGCCGTGGGGACCCAGGGGTCGGACTGGTCATAGGATCTCCCTCAGTGTTTAGCAGACTCCAGATCTCTAGTTAAAAGAAATCACAGCAGAGTCTGTGAGCTTTGGAAACGGTTCGCGTGTGTATACAGTGTCCATGTCCATACCTGTACCGTAAGGTTATGCCAGTAATGTGCACGGTGCAGACGCGTAACTCCCTCTCACATTCATTTCCGACGCGTGCCATATGAGGGACTTTGGTATTGGGGAAAATACAGTACACACAAGTCATAAACCGCCTGGGATTGGCAGGGTATTTTCAGCCTGTTGATAGTGCAATCTGAGTAAGAGACCTTTATGAGCTGCATAAAATGAAGGCCGAGTTTGCAGATGCCCACTTCCGCAGGTTGTGGTGTAAGAAGTTCTGTGCTGGGCTGCTGCCCAAGAGATTAGGGGGTTGAAATCCAGCAGCTGCTCCCATCAAGGTTTACACCCGGGGAATGTTGTGAGGCTGGAATCAAGGCAGCAGTGGTGGGCGTGGCTTTGTAGGTTATCACATGGTGGTGATGTGTGTGCATGCTTTGTGGTGCATCTAAAGTACTATAGAATGGCTATTTCCTTTTGAAAAAACTTATACATCGTCGT